TCCTCAATTTCTTTTTCTATTTCAAAAGGGAAATGTCAGGGATCTGTTTAGACCCCAGAAATTTCACCGTAGCCCCCCCCCCACCAAACAGTAAAAAAATACATACAAAATTATTAAAAAATTAAATAAAAAAACTAATAAAAAAGCACAACCCCTCCCTCACCCCACATACACACATATTTTGGTGCACACCATGCACATGCGCTGCAGTGCGTTGTTAGAACGCATCGCAGTGCATGATTTTTTTTTTCTTTTAAAAAAACATTAAATTAACTATGGCAGCGCATGGCAAAGCTTTGTGACTCATTGCCGTGCGTTGCGATACCTTGTGTTGCAATTAAATATACACCTGCATCATTTTATCACAACACAAACACCAAAACAATTTTTTACATAAGTCGATTATTTACAGTTTTGCATACCTTCATTTTTTTACCTTTTCACAAAAAGGCGCAATTTCAAATTTGCAAATATTTGTTATTTATTAACTCAATACAGTTTGATCTTTTAGATTTAGTCAGAAAATAATTTGTTTTGTGCACGAATACTGATATTGGTGTGTTTTAATAATTGAATTGTGTATTTTTATCGGTTTAATATTAATTTGAGAAACATTTGCGCAATTATCGCAGGGCCTACAAATTTAGTATCACCATCTTTTTATTCTACCGGGCCTGCGCTTTCAGAAAATATATGGTTTGGGGGGCATCATAATGAACAGTGTTGCTCTTATTCCAGTTATCACTAGTCAGCAAGAACTCCCAGATTGAAAAGTCAGCCTAAAGACACATTTGTCACAAGTAGCCATGATAAATTCCATTATACCAACTCAGTTCTAGGCACTCATGCATTAGCAGCTTGGCCAGGTTTAGACAGCCTTTTATTGAGCACTTTGTAAATGACTGACTGGAAGTCTTTGAACCCATTAGCAAGATATCTTTTAACACAACCAGAGCACAGAATCGTAAAAACAGCACTATGCAGAGACTTTTAATTAAGCAAAATTGCTAGGTCTTTACAGACTCTTTAGAGGGAAAACACATAGATGTTCGACTACATGATCTAAAGCTGCTATTTTCATAAAACACAAATACGGGGAAGGAGGGTTTCAATCTCAGAATGATGAATCTCCTATATTAGATCAAATAAGCACATTTCCCCATTTAAGGAGAACCCATCATAAAGTCAATTATGCAATAAATTTATATAAAATATAACTTATTCAAAATATACACATAACAACAAATAACTATACTTAAAATAAAGAACACCCATATATATTGCACATGTCTCATAGTACCCGCGAACCGGTACTATGTGGCCTGCAGCCAGCTGACAAGTTAGGCAAGTGGTCACGGACCACGTACCTGACTTGAGGGAGCAGCTACACAGTCTGCATCTGGCGTATTCAGACCGCAAAGCTGCTCCCGTCAGTGCCGGCACTCAGATCCTTTCGTCTGGCGTTTTGACAGTCTGCACGGAACGCAAAGATATAAGCAGGTGAGGGAGCTTGTGGGGGGAAAAGGGGGAGGGTATTATTTTGTGTGTGCCGGGGGGTTGTATTATTTTATGTGGGGAGGGGTTAGAATGAAGGGGTGTATTATTTTGTGTGTGCGGAGGGCCTTGGAACGGGGGGAGTGTTTTTTATATGTGTGTGTGGGGGGGGGGGTATTC